CAGCCTGTTTTCTCTCATTAGAGCTTTGCCTCTTGATAAGGGGTTCTACAATCTAAAAAAAAATGAAAAACCCTCTTCTGGGTAATATGTTAAAGAGTATATGAGTACTACATTCATCATTATATGTACAGCAAGAAAATAGAAGTCATTTAATATTGTCCTATGAGTGGATCTTTCATTAGTGCCTTTTTATTGCATTTTAAATAATGAAATAATATGTAACAGAATAATCCACTACAGGTAGGCTTTATCTACCAACTTATTAGTGTTTTGGGGTTAGTATATATGTAAGGTTTTTCTGTATATCCATGGTTTGGGCCTTGCTTTTTATTATTTTGTGCATGCATAAAATGGCAGATGGGCTTTGTGTATGTACTACGCTTTTTAAGGATTAGGGTTAGGTGTCTATGCAATGTATTTGCTCCTCTTTCTCCTTGATCAGTTGTGGTGGATCTTGCTGGGTAAGTCCAGTCACAAAGCTCCACGTGGCTCCCTGCAGCAGCTGGCCTTCATTGGAGCAACCTGCTCAGTTGGTGATGGAGGGAGTCCTTAATGACTCAACCTGGCTTCTCCATTCCATGTGACTGGAGGGGCTTCCTAACTGTACCACCAAATCCTAGTGCTGCCTGCAAACCATTCCTAGCGCATTCCAGTGACTGTGTGATGCTTGTTGTTGAGGAGTCCTCTGTTCTCTAAACTCTCCAATCACAGCGCTGGCATTTGTGGCCAGAGTTGCTCCTATGATCAAGAGGAAGATGACACTTATGGGAGAAAGGAGGGAGGAAGTGCTCATAGAAGGAGAAAGAATAGTTTCCACAACCTAACCTCTAAATTCCCTCAGATTCAAGATCTCATTATTCAAAGTTTCGTTATTCATGATTTTATGCTGGATAAGATGATTCACAGATAATTAGAGCCACCTGTATTGATTTATACTCTAATCAAGAAACCATATTTTATAAATCAAAATGACTGAGATCAGAAAACATGCTCAACCAGGTGTTCTTGAGGTTTACAGTACCATGACCCCCTCAAATGAAAAATAAATATATGTGTCTTCCTGTGAATAAAAGTAATGATTTCACTAGTGGCTGGCTTAGGCAAGAAATAGATATACCACTTATTTTTAATAATTAGATTTTAATCTGTGTGTCAAGTAAAACAATAATAGAGTCATACAACTTTAAAAAATAAAACAATTTATTAGAAATGAAGAAACAAGAACAAACCACCATATATTTTTAAATGAAAAAGTTGAGCTTATTTTTGCATAATTCCTGAAAAACTGGGTTTTATTTTCAAGACAACCACTCTTTTTTCTCATTCCACATGTACCTCATGCTCTTTACAGCAGCAACTGAAGAAAAACCTGATTTGCACAAATAGCATGTTGTGAATGGAATCTGTATGGTCATAGTCTTCTCATTTTGTTCTCTACTCACTTTGTTGTTGTCCTCAGTTTGTGCACTGATTCTAAGAAAAGACACTTGTGAAATGAGAGTTTTGTCCATTTCACCTGCATTAGAATTCACAACATACAGTACTTTGATCAAAGCAAATTACGAGAATTCAATCAATAATTTTAATATGATGGATTTTATCAGATATTTCAAAAGATGTTCTATTAGTTGAAGAAGATAATATTGTTCATAGAATCCTTCCACCTTTGTTAAGAAACGAGGTGGAAAACCAATTCATAAGCTTAGTAGAATTTTGAAATCTGAGCTCAACCACCTTGCCCAGGGTGACTTTGAACAGTGATTGTGACCCCTCTCAAAGTTACTTGCAACTCCCCACGATCATGACAGTTTGAGGACCTCTGTGCTAAGCCAAAACCAAGCAAACTACACTGTGGCTTAGTGCAATGCATGAATGTAGCCATCATCTAAGATGCATGACAATGGTGGGAGGTGATTTCACTTCTCAGGATGAAAAAACAAACTAGAAGAACTGAGATAATCATACAGTATTATTTCAAGTTATTCACATATCCAAAGTCCCACAACTTTCTGGCTAAAACAACCTCAGCTTTTTTTTTTTTTTTTTTTTTAAAGCTGAGGTTGTTTTAGCTATTACCTCTTGGTAGCTTAGACTGATATTGTGCTGAAAACTCAAAAGTAGATAGGAGCAGCCTCACATGATGATGTCTTGGCTGATAATGTGAAACTAAAGCATATATGCATGCCTACAATCCTCCAAGCACTTACGATCTTTAATCATACTATTTCCTGGCACATGAAGGAATATGTTTATTTAGCTCTATTTCGCAGAGATGCCTACAGTGATTCTGGGTGGATGCAGTAGAAAAGTACTAGATAATTTGTCTATGTGGCTTAAATAATGTCTCTGTTTACTATATTATTCTGCCCATGTGCCTTACCAGAAAAGAGATTTTTAAAATCTTCTCTTAAACATTACCCTATGAACCTTCACTGACATTATAGTCCTCTTAAGAATTAAGGCTTTCTTAGCTCACATGTTTCTTTAAAGTAACTTTATATGCTGAGACCCCTAGAAAAATAATGAGATGTGTTCTTTTAGGAGATTTAGTAAATGGTCAAGGAGATTTATAAATGTAGCAAAATAAGATTCACTGTTAACACTATGAATTTATTGCTCCTTGCTACTTTGTGTGTGTGCGTGTATGAGCTTAGCTACTAAGTACAGGCAAGCTAGTTTTGGACATTTCCTGCATAGCTGAATGGATGGTTGGTAAAGTGGATCTGATGTTTATATAAAGAAGCTGCAAGAAGGAAGGGATTCTAATTAATTGCAATTTCTTAATTGAATTTTATACTATAGCTGGTCTTTCTAAACGATACGGTCACTTGTCTCTCTTCTCATTTAGAACAGAGGACTTACATGTAAACTAAGACATTTTATTTTATTTTATTTTGCTTCTTACTCAATGCACTAAATCCATCAATGTCTTTATGGTCTTTGTGACCATCATATCTCCTTGGGATATGAGATTTAGATAGAATGTGAAAACCATAAGGCTCATCTGGGATTCGGATTAGCTTTAATCCTTAAGGTGATTTTTAGAATCTGTAGTGTGTTTTTACATTTTTGAGAGAGTGAATTGATGGATCATTTCCAGTGAGACTTCCTTACTCTATTCCAAAAATATTAACTACTCCAAAAGAGTGACCTTGGCACCCAAGAGTCGACTTGATGAGCAGCTTAGCCAGAGCTGAAGGTAAATGAATCATATCAAGTATGACCATTGCAGGCCTGAAAATGATTCTTAATTAACCAGTGATCCTCAGTGGTAGCAAATTCATAAAAGCTGTACCTCTCAAGGGAACCATATAATATGTAGAAGCAGCAACTTACAAAATCTAATAAGTTTTTTTTTTAAACTGCTGCTTTCGTTCTTCCCCCTTCTTGCCTATTTAGCTGTTCCATGGTTTCTAATGACTTAATCTATTAAAGTCACACAAACTCTACTACTTTATCACTTGTGTGTCATATAACTTCTTCCTTTTTTTTTCTTTTTAAATCAGAGAGAAAATCAATCAAGAAATGTAAAAACTACGAGTCTTGTAGCATAAGCTTTTCTGGGCCAGAGCCTGCTCCATCAGATACATGAAGCAGTCACCTAATGGGTAGGTATATATATCCTAGTACAGAGAGAAGGACATGGATATCTATAGGGAGAAGAGCAGGGGGAGAGGCCCAGTGGTCAAGCAATGAAAGAGGGGGTGGTTGGTGTAATCACAATGCCATGCAGAGCGCAACTGATTACTGAAGACAATCTCATCTTACACAAACTTATGAAGAATAAGCATAATTTTTTAAAACTGGGGTCTTACATAAAGACCTAATTTTCTGCAAGGTTGCATCTAACAACATATTTCCAGTCAACAGAATCCATCTATATCTTCCTTAATGTATTTTTCTACAGAAAAGAAGAATTTGTCAAAACTCCTGCATAACATTACACACTCACCTGTTTCTCAGCCAGCTCATTAATTTTAGATTTTAAATATGAGTGTAGTAAAAATGTCTTAAAAGTCTTCCCATGAACACTTGAAAGAGCTAGTAAAATGACTGCTGTATTTAATGGTTTAGTAAGCATCTTAGTTCCTACTTCCAAGGACCTTTCCTCTTTTCAAGATACATTGATGGCATCTTCATCTGAACTCCCTCAGTAAATATGTCCTTGAAGCAAGTCCACTTTCCAGGCACCACAGCGTAAAAAAGCATGAGACATTAACATCATCTTAAACAAACTGATACATCTCTACCTCCTCCCAGATACAATCCATAGTGTTCTGAAAAGTTCTGTTGTCTACAGCCAGATCCTACAGTATAACTGTCTTTTCTCCATTCCTTTGGCCAGAAACATCTGTCTCCAGGAATTACATCAGCGATTCCTAAAACTCCACTTTAATTTGAGAAGGTGAAGAATTGGCAAGGTCTCACCAAGTACCCGAGATATACCTGCTGTAGACCATCTATGAAGGATAATAGCATATTGCTTGCTGCCATTGATAGCCCTTGGGTGACACTTTTTTTGTGCATCCTGGAAGATGATCATTCATCTTCACAGCCTTAAATGAATACTTGTCCTTCCTTAGAATCTGTACCCAGGTCTAAAGCAGGTATTCATCAATACTAAGGGGCTACCTAATGTAAGTTAAATTGTGATGCCACTTCTGTTGCCATACTCTCAGCCGTAATACTGAGAATTCATTCATCTGCCAATAATGCCATTCTATGATAAACCAAATAAGGTTGTTCCTAATGCAGGAAGATAAATGACATTGGAAACTGCTTAATTCGGTAATACTGATGAACATCAAATTCCAAGCTTTTGGAATTTCAACTCATCAAATCCTGCGTTTGGCTAAATTTCTGCAGGAAGCTATTATCCTTTTACATGATTTTATACTGTTGATTTGCTATGCCTATTTGTGATCAGTGGCCACTAGTCACAAGTGAGTCACACTCATTCTGATTTGTGTTCTGCATAATATTGTGATGCATCTACTTTCTTGTGCAGTGCTTGACCTTTTGGCTTTGCTTTGGACACCTCCTTCTCTTTGTACCTAGGGTATATACATACACATTTACTTACTGAGGTGACTATGCATTTGGTTTATGAAAACTTATGTCACAAGAAATTTGATAGATACTAAGCTGCCAGAAAACATTTTGACTATTAATCATATCAAGTTGGGGATCTCCAACCCTTATGAATATTTGTGCTTGGGAAAGCTAACCAAATTTGGTAAATTCTGTCACGTGGTTATAGAAATGGCTAATATGGTATCTAGTATCATTAATTTAATTTAATCCCAAATGATAGTATCTAGGAAACTGGTGTTTCACTGAATGATGTGCTGGCTTTTAATCTGTTCTCATAAAAGATGCAATTTTGGTGTTCAATCCTTCAATGTTCCTGAAGACATAGAGTTGGATCCAGCCTAAGTAAGTTACTTGAGATCAATACAACTTACTTGAGATCAATACAAAGTTAGTTGAGTACCACTTATTTATCATGGGAACTTAATACAAGTCACTATCCTATACTAAAGGGTATGTATTCAAAAAAGATTTGAGATTGTATTATTTATCCTCTGGGTTGGATGAAATTCTCAGTTTTAATTTTGGCCATGATACTAGTTGAGGACTAACAGTCTGGAAGACATAAGGCTAGAGTAGATGAAAGTAGTCTATGTCATGCGCTATCTGGGGAAAATACCTAATTATGTTGTAGACTCAACCTTTCTTTTGACATATTTTTAGATTAAATGGCTGTATTCCCTGTTTGATCATGGGATTTTTATACTGTGTAAGCTAAAATGATCATTTACTTTCTGTACTTTTTAACAGGCATGACTCGGCATCCTCCAGGTCCTGATCTCTCCACCTTTTATCCCTTATCTCCTGGCAGTGTTGGGCAGATAACCCCACCACTTGGCTGGTAAGAGCTTCCTGCTACTTCTGAGTCATACACGTGTATGTATGCTTGTATTTTGTGTTCTGTTAAATTAAATGCAGGTTTATTGACTTGAGAAGTGACTCATTTTTAAACAAATGTAATGTTCCCATTATTAAATAACAAAACACAATTGATTGTAACAAGTTTGGCAACGTAGCTGGCTTTGCAGAGCAACCCATTTTCCCCACAAATTTGGATTCTAGGAACAATGTGACATTCTTGAATGAAACACCCTGTACAATTCACAGACTATACAGCTTGTATACCTTGAGGTCTGATAATATGTATTAGGTAAGGTCATTTATTTGCTCTAGGCCTTGGAAGGACTTGTAAAATACACAAGTGCCACTGAGTACATACAGAGTGCCATTTCACCACTAAATAACCCTGATTCATATGCTCACTTTGCACTCATTTATCATCTATGTGTCAAATGTATCAAATTTGCAGCAACATTCTTCATGAAGGGAGCCACGTCCAATTTCATTCAGTGTATTAAATGTGTTCATTGTTTGGTCTGAGCTGAAAAAATAGCAACTGAATGAATTTACCTTTCATAAAGTTTCTTCCAAGTAGTCAATCAGGTGCAGTATTAGCTATCAAAAGTGTATTTCACAGAAGGAAAAAGGGAAAATAAAAATTAAGAATTGTAGGGCAGTGATCCAAAATGTGGTAAATTTTAGATAATAGTATTACTGATACTAATGGCCTGTCTCTATACCTCTGTTGGATTTTTATTTTGTGAATGACTCTTGTCATTTTGGCAGAGCCAGTACATTAGATAGAAAACCTCCATTGCTATAGGATGTGAATGGCAGGTCTCTGATGTCATAAAATACTGAAAATACTTAAACAAAAATTAATTGTAAGAAAATTAAGAGAGCCAGCAGTTTGATCGCCAAGCTCTTTTATATTATTGTGGCTACTTTTACACTAGGGAAGGATTTCTGGAGTGTGGGGGTAGATTCAGTTCCAAATTTTAGATTTTTTTCTAAAATTCTTTCTCTGGTGCACATATTTTTTCAAAGAAAAAAGCTAAAAATGCTGATAATATGGATGGTGTACAACACAAAATGCTCTTGTGTTCTACTTATTGTTGGTAAAAATGTGCTGTAGGATTGAGACTTGAATTTTGTCTGTGTGGGTGTGTGCATGTGCAATGACCCAGCCTATCATGCATGCATATAACTTGATTTAAGTGTGAAGAGTGTCATGGTGAGAATAATAAAGGGCCAGCAGCTTTGAAAATGCCAGTTTTTTAAAACATTACATCTGTCAATCAATAGCTCTGCTTGAATAGAATTGAGTGTACTCTTTCAAGGGAAATTCAATTATTCTGTCTGAAGTTGATACATAAGTGTGTTAAGTTCTACTCAGAAGTTGCATTAATTCAAGGTGGAGGAAAAGACAGTATAAACTAAACATAAAACGTTCAAAATATTTGAAACATTCAATTTGAGCTATTGGCATATTTATTCAGAAGAGCAGAAGTTTGTATTAGATCAAATCAAATCTTTATAATGGTCAAAGACCAGCATATTTATATTAGAAGTTTCTTTGTGTTTTAAACTTTCTTTCAAGGTTTTTATTTTGTGTTTAAGCAATATGAATTTGGGCTGTGTAACACATTGGAACTGATTTCAGGAAGATGCTTCAGAGTATGCAACAACACTCTCTGGGAAAAGGCACAGTAGCTTAAAGTGTTGCATATAGTTAATGCATTTGTTAGATGTCCCAGTATCCTAGGATTCTTTAGAATTTCCCTTTACCAGAGATGGGCAAAGTTATTGACTCTCTCTGCTTGACTGCTCCAATTTGGCTCCTCCTTCTGCCTTGGGAGTGGCTAACAATACAGGAAGGCACAACCCATTGGTTAGTGCGATATGAAAACTGGGATCCCCAGTTTGCTGCTATTTTAGTAATCACAGTTATATACCAAGAATAAATCCTAGTTTATGACCCTTACTGAGGAAGTGAAGAACAAGCTACTTGGGTTACTAGCTGGTTTATCACTTCACTGGTGTTTGGTAAAAGGCAGATTCACTTCTATTACAGTATAATTGATGGGTTCCTTTCTTCTGTGACCTCAGGCAAGGTCAGCCTGTATATTCCATCTCAGGTGGATTCAGGCAACCCTTCCCATCCTCACTTTCAGTCGACACTTCCATGTCAAGGTAGGTGTAGGTGTGGAATGACTGGCTCAGGAGTAAATGCTGGACATGGAGGGGCAATTCGCTATCCTGCTTGAGTCCTGGTGACTGCCTTTGCTTGCTTCTCTCCTCCTATTAGCTAATCTGCATTTGTGTGTTTGCACATGTATGTGTATAATACTGTGTATATACAGCTTGCTCATTAAAAAAAAACTAAGCTGTAAATCTGTGATACAGCAATCTTACTGAAGCCAAAGAGAGTCTCATTTGTGTCAGTACAAATGCAGTGAAATCAATATTTATGACTATGGTTCAATCTGCATTTGTACCATTTTATATTTGTGTATATAACAACTAAATATAAAACTCTCATTTTTTAACAGTTTGCTTTACAGTCCCTTTCCTTCCTCTGCGGTGTTCTATTTCATTGTAGAATGCAGGATGGGAAAAAGCTTTCCAGGCTCAAAACTATTTTAAAATAACGGCAAAAGAAGCTGTGTAGACATGGTTATATTGGTGTATGAATAAGGAACTGTGAGTGCAAGCAGGCAGAACTAACTAGGCATTGGTGGTGGCATAATTTTGTATCACTCTTATCTTTCTGTGGTATGAAAATATGGGATCTATATGCTATGCTTGATGTATCCAAAGGTTGCTGTAAATTTCTGTATATCTTATATCAATAAAATGCAACAAACAAGTAAAAACAATTTAACACATTTGTTGGCTGGGTGTATGGGATCCATGTGCTTTTTGTAATTTAATCACTGTTTTTATTTCCTCCCATTTACAATTGGGCCAAGCTCAATAAAAGTTTTTCTAATATGCTTTTTATCACCTTACGCTTTTTTCTGTACAAGTTTTTTTTTTAAATTAATTAAACATGTCAGGCTATCAATTTATTTTTATATAGGAAGCATAAAAGGACTAGATGAGACCAAGGAAATCCAAGGACACTATTTTCATGTTTAACAGTTAAGGTAGTTCAGTTGTAGTTTGGCCTTAACAGATTAGTAGCTAAATCAGGGTTCCCTAATGTTGTACTCTCCTGATATATTGGATTTCAACTCTAGTCAGTACACACATACCCATTCCGATATTCTCTTTTGGGGTAGGCAATATTATGCATGGTGCAGAAAAGAAGTAAGAAATAGTAAGCTAAAGAAAGTAAAAGCATAAGATAAAGAAAAATAGCTAAACCTAATTTATACCAGCATTATTCACTGTACTTCTCCATACCTTTCTATATGGTGCAGAAAAGAAGTAAGAAATAGTAAGACTGCTATAAAGGACCTTTACACTAAAGAAAAATAGCTAAACCTAATTTATACCAGCATTATTCACTGTACTTCTCCATACCTTTCTATCCTTGTAAAAAAAAAAAATAATAATCCTTGTTTCCACCATTGTTCTTTAAATTTCTCATCATTCCTTCTGAGGATCTCAACAATCCCACCAGGTACTTTCTTTCTTTGATGCTGCCAATCCCTTTTATTCAGTCCTCATTAATTTAGCACCTCTTCATTCCTGACAGTATCTTTTCTTGTTTTACCACTCATACTCAGTTTTACCCCAAGCCTGTTAACCTTATTCTGTGCAAATTAGGATGTCTAAACTAGAGACTACTTTGCAAACCATCACACTGTTGTCCACATTCTGCCAATTAGCCGTCTATTGACATGCATAGGATGCAGTCCTCATCAATATAAGAGCTGAAATCCAGCATGTCTGGACAACATCAGACAGGAGAAAGCTAACTTTGTCACCTTGTGTGAGATGGGCGGCTATATAAATACAACTGATAGATAGATAGATAGATAGATAGATAGATAGATAGATAGATAGATAACTAACTAACTAACTAATTAACTAACTTTGGCCAAATAAAGAGTAATTGGTTCACCACCACCACTACCACCATGATGATCTTTGAAACTTTGGACCATTATTTATTTTATCAATTCAAATTATGTATCTCCCCTAGCTTTTTATAATATTAGCAGAATTGTCTGTTGGTAAGCTGGTAATAATTTGAACGGCCTCACTATTATGAAGTGCAGAAAGTTCTGCTGGAATTGTGGAAAGCTATTTAATATTTACTGGAATTTTTTTTTATAAAAAAGTGAAGAGATAGCATAGGATAGGGTCTGTGCTGGAAATCCTTTTCGGTGTAAGGTATAAGCTGTGGTGGCATTTGCCCCAAAGCAGTATCTACTTTGCTTTAAAAGACACATACCAGTATGTAGTGCTTTAAATGTGTGAGAAGGGAGAAAACCTGTATTTCATTACCTACAGCACTGCAATTCCAAGTTCCTGCTATTATATTTTCTTCTAAGTACTTTGATTGGATGCAATCATGCAAATCTGCATAGCAGCGGATGTAAGAATTAATATTGTGGCAGCTCGCAGTTCAATATTTTCATACTTGCATGTTGCAAACAAAATATTCTGATGTCTTGTCCTCGGCCCTAACCTTCAAGGCAGCCCAGAATATAAACTGGAGCATTCTAGCAACATTTATTTATTGTAGAGTGTGATTCACGCACATGATTTGTACCCCTGCAGAGTCCACTTTGGAAACTTTTAGATCTTACAGAATTGTTTGTTGAGAGAGACAGGCCCACATGCACACACACCATACTGGATAACTAGGAACGTCTCCCACTAAATCCTTTCAGTTTGTTTTCAACTACCACAGCATCAGCACTTTCATATCTGAACAGATAGTCCTTGTGTTTGTCCAATATAGTTTTTTTTCCCTTTCTTCCTCCTAATTTTATTTAAACTTATCTCAGCTCTTCTTCAAAACTCCTTAAAATTGTGCATCGAGACTTCATAACCTCTCATCACAGGCAGCTGGCCTTCAACTTTATGATCTTAAGGGCCCTATTTCACAACTGCCAGCATTGTAGGAACACATTTTTCCCCTCAGATGGGTTTGTTTGTCTTGGTGAAAGTTACACAGTAGACATATGTAAACACCACCAGGCATTATTAAACAGTTAAACAAGCTCATCACACTATTTATTCTTGTCTGTGAATCACCATCTGGGAGCAAGCATTAAGGGTGGCAGACTCTGAAGCTATTGTAGGCTCCTCATCTTCCTCCAAGCCTCCTACCATGATGGCAGTATTGTTCTGGTGGCTCCCTCATTCCTTTGAGAGATCAGTTGAATTCTCCACTGTTTGATATTTAGCTAATATTTGCACTTAAGAAAATGTTCATAAAGGGTTTAAGGGTTTTTAAGAGGCTTTCAGTGCTCAATTCCACCAAGGCTAAGACGAAAAAGAAGACTAAACCTTCTGTTGTCTGCTCAAGTTTCTGTTCTCCAATTCCATTACCACCATTTTTGCTATTGAAAAATTATCCAGTTTATACTCTGTATTTCATAAAAGCTCTAGCACATCTTTCTTCTCTGGAAGAGAGACTACTTCCATCCTGGACCCTCTCCTTCTCTCTACATTAATGCAACTGTACTCATATGGCTATCTTCCTGTTTCACCTCCTCCCATTGAAGTTAGCAGGAGAACTATGCATCTTATAAAAAGATCCTTGCTTCCTTATTTTTCAAACAGATAAAGTAGTATTTCACCTTACTTCCCTCCAAAGTCGATTTCAGTCTTCCATTTGAATCAAAACATACTGCCTGCCTTTTCCTCCAAGTCTTCAACACTACAAGAAATGATGCTTCATTCTATGGATGTCTGTTATGTGTCATTTGCATTGGGACCATCATTTATTCCTGGCCTTCCAAGGCCCATCTAAAGGGTGTGGTATTGGTCCCAGCATTTCTCCAAATAGAAACAATAATTAAGGTTTGTTGGGAGCTGGCTCCCTTCCAATCAAGGCTCTTCCCACAAGAGTGATAGCAACTTTGACAGCTTTCCTCTGCAATATTCCCCTGTTGTGTGCTCAGGCCTTCATTTGTGTCTCTGTAGACTAGACCTGTGCTCCCAGAAAGATGCACTGCCCTTTGCAAGGGCACTAGTCTCTTCAACAGCCTTAGAATGCCCAGACACCTGTTCACAGAACATGCTTGCCAGTCAACCATATGTGTGACACATGGAGACCATCGTAAAGAATTAACTGTAACTGCAGTTCTTTGAATGCCGCCTGTACATTCTCATAACTTGCCCTCTATCATTTGGTCTCAGGCACTCTCAGTATTGGAACTGTTGTGGTGGCTTTAAAAACTGAAAGGGTTTGGTGGGAACCATGCCAAGGTTTGTGGTATGCAGGAGCAGGGCTCCTGCCAAGCATGTCTGTAAATGCAAGTGTATAATTCTTGTGTGTGCATTCACACATGACTACTCAAAGAACTATAATTACAGCACATAACATGTTCTTTTGGAAAGTGTGACTTTCATAATGAGATAAGGTTTTTCTTCCTCACAGAAGCTTCCCACTCCTTCATGGTGCTTAGAAGAGTGTGCATTCTCTACTTTTAAGACAGACAGGCTGTGTCCCTATATACATTTAGGCAACACACCAATACAATGCCACAAGGCTGAAGTGCACATACGCAGTCTCTTAAAAGATCAGTTATAAAAGCAGCCAGATGGAAAGAGACAGAACATTGGAGGACAATAGACTCAGAAAGATGAGTTATGAGTGTATCATGTGCCTCATGAGTGAGTCACATATCATAGTGACAAGATATAGTGCTTGAGTAGATTGATTCTGGGATTTAGATCATACGATTGGAAAGCCGTAGCTTCTCAAGGAAATGCAAATTTTTCAATCTCATTTTTTCCTGCATGATCGTTCCTCCTTTTGTTTGCTGGTGGTGGGTAACTTTAATGTCACATTTATGTGAAAAAAAATTTTTTTATGGGACTAGGATGAAATTAGAACCATGTGTCCTATATGTTTTTAGAATTATTGAAGGCATTAAATTTCTTTGCATATAATGCAAGATTTCTGCTGCAGCATTTCTCCAGGGTTAAAGGACAAAAATAATCCTGTCTATTTGGTCCATGTCTTAGCTGTCAGAAATAGGAATCCTAACACTTTTGCTGCTAGCCCAGTATGAAAGATTTCTTCCTAGGCTTTCTCATGATTCATATAATTGTTCAGTACTGTGCTTGAATCCCAATGTGAAGAAGACTTGCCCTTTTCCATTTTTTGTAGGTTTTCACATCATATGATCCCAGGTCCTCCAGGACCCCACACAACTGGAATCCCTCATCCAGCAATTGTAACACCTCAAGTCAAACAAGAGCATCCGCATACAGACAGTGACCTAATGCATGTGTGAGTTGGACTTTTCCAAGTCTTTTAACAATCCTTAATCTGCAGTGACTGGGAACCAAGTAGACATAGCAAGATAGATGAAGGGCTTTTTTCCTGCTTTTCACTAAAATAAAGTGTTGGATATGTGCCCAAGTATGAATATAGCATTTAGTACTTTCAGGTGTCACTACCTCGAATATTGAAGCTGTTTACACAGAAGTAACTAATTTAGTATCAAGTCAATGAAAACTTATTATGTTCTGATTTTAATATGATCTAGTCTAGATGTGCACTGGGAGATGGATGATGGCTTATCAAAACTTATCTCACACAGACTCACAGACATAACAACATTTGCATAACTAGAAATATTTTTCTTTTGGAGGTAGGTGATACTTGTAGAATCTCTTTAATTTCCATATTCCCAATTCTAAGTGGCTCTTATGATTAGCCTAGCAAAGGTATGTAGTTTAGACATATCATACTTCAAGGAAAAATAGGTATTTTATATAAAAAGCACAATTAAATACAAATTATATATAATTTTTAAAAAATTAAATGTTGTGGATTAACATAGACATGGGTCATTGTATACGTAAAAACTGCCAAATAACACCAAAACTAGATTGCTTTTGACCTGGTAATAGGTAGAGATAAATCTGTTTTGAATGACAACAATCCCCTGATTTATTCTTATATGTACAGTATTTTGGGGACTTGAACTCTCTTTTTCACCTTCCATATTTTGTGGAAGAGAAATATGGATATTCTTTCTAAAGTAGGTAAGCCTATCACTGTTCCATCTTTGGATTTGCCATTTGACAGGCACATTTTATACCTTTTAAATGGGTTGGATGGAAGCATCATTTATCTTCAAATTATTAGGTTTTGTTTTAATTCTTATATTACAGGAAATTCTGCTCCTCAATAACCTTCTGGGTGTTGATTCTTGCATTGATAATTATTAGTTTATCCACAAATTACTTTGCTCTTAAAAAGGCTTGTGCTGCTTTGTGTGTAGTATATCATATAGCTATAGAAAGTCTGATAAATCTGGAAATATTTGTGTATGGCACTGTTAAGGAGCTCTAAGACTCCTTAACAAATAACAGAGGGAAAGAGTGCCAATTGGGGATGAGAGGTTATTTTTTGCTTTCCTCTTTCTTTTTCTATATGCCTGAACACTGAAATAACCTAGGAAACATTTCTATTTAGAAATGGGGGAGAAATCTGTTGATCACCTGAAATGCAGTATAAAATATCCTTTAAAGCTGACCATGATATCAATTGTACTCTTCTATATGTTCTGTTACCTTTAGGAAGCCTCAGCATGAACAGAGGAAAGAACAAGAGCCCAAAAGACCTCACATTAAGAAACCTCTGAACGCTTTCATGTTATACATGAAAGAGATGAGAGCGAATGTTGTAGCAGAATGTACTCTGAAAGAAAGTGCAGCTATCAACCAGATTCTTGGCAGAAGGGTATGGAAGAAATGTGTTTTTGTGTATATGCATATTGTGTATTCAGTCTACAGTATTTAACTCACCCACCACATTCCATTAGCTTTAGGTTTGTGTCCTCTAGAGTTGTTGAGTTTAAGATTCAGTTCCAATTATCATAATTATTGTATTAGACCTCATCTAGAAGGCCCCTCCCTTATTTGTTCACAAACTGATTATGCTGTTATTAGTTAGTGGAAGTGATGTGAAGTAACTTAAAATAAAACCAACTAGTCTTTTCATGCAATGAATTCTGTGCATCAGCACAGAAATTTTGTATGCATGCAAAATGTATGTCCAAATTCTCAGGTCTAATTCCTCAGATCAATAGTTGAAGCATCTACAATAGGAAAACGGTGAAAAATGTTAATTTTGGAGAACAGCTGACATTCAGTACTCTATTAAGCAGATCAGAAGTATAAAGTATTTTTATGCATTTATGTTCTGGAATTTAAATAAATGAATACACACAAAGATACACAGACATAAAATACTAATGATAAAATGTATAGGACTTCTAATATGTTCTTCCATCTAGTCCAGCATATTAAAGTGGTAAAATACAGTGGGCAAATTGCTTTCTTGTTGATAGCATTATTAATCTTACAGAGTAATCTTTTGAGTTCCATATCACATGTCACTGGTGGATGGGGCTAAAGTATGTAATGGACTGGCCAGAGCAAAGATGAGGTTGGGGCCACCAAAACTCCCTCTTTTTGACACTCTTTTTTGGGGGGGGCAGACACACAGAGGCACACTTTTTCTCTCCATCCCCTTACTCTCTGTTCTTGCTTCTACAACCAGGCGTCATCTGGGAAAAAGAGCTGTTGCCAGATCTGTTTGCTTGCAAGAGTTTGATGGTTCCATGAAATAAAGTCAATAGCAACCTGTGTCCCAATCACACTGTGGTGTAATGTAGTTGCTGGAGCAGGTAGCTAGATTTGTGTTGCCCAACAAATTGAATAGCTTACTTTCAAAAGAGGCCTGAAAATTCAACCTGTATTTCACAGTGAAAGTAGGCTATGACAGTATGACAGCCTTTTCCTGTGGAAAGTGATGTGTAGGCACAGTAAGCAATTTTCTATACCAACACTATGCTTACTTTGCATAGTGTTTTGCAGGGAGAAGAAAGAGATCTAATCAGATTAGTTGTGTTAAACTATTATTGCGGTATGTTGTTATAAAAAATATATGTACCATAAAATAGTAAGAATATTTTTTTTAACTTAAAAGTTATGTCTCTTATGCTAAGCCTAGCTTTTACTTCCTTCAGATGTTTAACCTGATCTGTGCTTATCAAGCACATATACCCTTGGCTTATAAAATTAATCTTGGCGTCAGAGTGATTAGGGATCTATATGCTATGAATACTATAATGTTTATTGCTTGGTCCCATCAAAGCATGTGTTATATGTTTGATTATTATGTTATCCACACATGACTAGAAATTCCTGCTATGATTTCCCCAAACACTGAATTAGCTTAAGCTCTTGTCTATATTTTGATAATTTTATTCATGACTTAAGCTACCTCTTGTCTCCTAGGATAATTCCTACATCCTCTATAGTATAGGGTATTGGTTTATAGTTTAATACTTATAAAGTTCCAAGATAAAGTGACAATGGGCCTTTTCTGGATGGGCACTCGGGGTTGTGAATCTAGAAGTTATATTCTCATAGATAAGGTACGGTGCTGATTGGATAGTGTCCAATATGTCACCATGAAGTTTTCCAAGCTTATATTTTTTTCAAAATGTGCTCTGCCTCCTTGTGATTGCACATATTTTCAGCAAGTAGCTGGCCTTGTCTGAGAGAGGCAGGATCAGGCCTGGTTAGTACTTGGTTGGAGGTCTACAGGGAAACTTTCCAATAGGTTATATTGGGAAGTTTTTAAAAAATGACCTGGTAGAAGGGGTTGGAAAACCATTTCCACATTTTTGCCAAGAAAACTATATGGGTGTCAGAAATTGAAGTCTACTGGAAGGAGTCTTTACTTATTTTCAACATAGCATGCAAGATTTAAAATATGCAATCAGGAAATATCCTGTGGTACTATTTACCACTGTAATAAATAGCAGCAATAAACTATTTCTGTTTAGAATTTTAACTTAAAAAAAGGAAATACAAATGTATGTTTGGTGCTTTCAAAAATCAACAAAATTGACTGCTTCTCTTAAGGTGAGAAGCATACTTTACAGCTGAAAAATGTTTAGTTTGTACATTTGACATTTTAGCTGAGGGATATTCAATTAGCTAATTTTCTTATCTGTCTTTTCTTCATCATAAAACTTTTATATATTGTAGAAGTAACTAGGGATAGTCCTCATTTAGTGACCACAATTGGTTTGGCAACTTAGCCATTAAGTGAAGTAGTTGTAAAGTGAAACTGCAACTGTTCTTATGATCTTACTTTAGCTTTCCTTTGGTTTACAGACCTGCAAAAGTCATAAATGCGAGGAATTGTTGTAAAGTTACTTTTTCATTGCCACTGTAACTGTGAACAGTTGCTGTCTGAGGCAGTCATTAAATGAGGACTACCTGTATCTCTTTTTGGAAGAGTTATCAATAAACATTTCACAAAATGACTAGAGAACAGTGATTTCAGATTTCTTTGGATGATTAAAGTTATTTTT